CTGACGTAGTTATGAGCTCTCCGTGATCTGCATCAACCACACTCCCCCCTCTCATCTCTCCGGAAAGCTCCTTTGACTTGCCTTTGATCCCGGCGTCAAAATCGTTGAATGAACCACCTTTACCGTTACCTGTTGATTCGAGGGTATTTCAGATGATGCGGATCGTCGCTCTCTCTGCACTTGCCGTGAGTTTTTTTTTGTTCTTTCTTTGCAGCAAGAGAGGGCTTTAGACGATGGATGCGCCTCGTATTTAGCATCCTTACAGAATAGCTATTATGGATGACTCTGGTATTTTCAACCCACTCTGGTCTAGACAATGACCTGTGGGGAGCAGGAGCAGCCAGCGGTTCTGCCATCTCAGAGAACTACGCCACTGCTTCTAGGTAGCGAGGTAGCCGACCGTGGAGGCATGGATAGATAAAGTGCACCGGTGAATGGCGGTCTGACCATGAGATTTCATCCATGAATTGGGTCCGTGAATCTGGCCCCACTTGCCAATATACCGCTTGCGCTCCTTGTGCGGCTTTACCTGAATACAGTGATGCTCGCAAGGTTCAAAGCTTCCAAAACTGTAAGCACGTCGAGACTTCAATAAGGCATAACGGGAAGTCTGCTTGGTACTCGGTCAAAGGCAAGCGCAAGAAACCATTATGTTAAACCCAGAAGATGTGAGATGGCGACCGGGGTGAGGGGAAGGGATTTTGCACTTCTTGTACTTCACTAAATCCTGTTTACAAGGCTCGCACTGGTGAACCTGCGAAGTCTTGTGCAGCCGGAGCAAGCTCGACGGCCAGCATGGTAAAACCTGTCAGCTCTCGTAAATTTGTGAAATACCCCCCCCCCGTCGCTGAACTGCGCCTAAACTCATGAACGAATAAATTTAATAGGCGCGTAGTTCCTGGTAACATCAGACAGGGGACCATGCCAGGCCATCTCAACATAAGTCATAGAAAAGTGTAGTACCAAAGACCGGCTGAGGTAAATAATGCGTCGCTCATGAGAAACTGAAACACCTTGCGAATGGCTATTACTTTTCAACAAACGCTGGCGCTATACGCTTGCCCTCCATTCCCTCTGGCTCGTGATGGAAAGTTTTCGTTTAGGCCTGCCTTTCGTGAAAAGATGAGGCGACTACGGACTCGCTCTCAGAGGCGCTCAACGGTTGTCGGCAAGAATCGTTGGTAGTTCCTGCCGACATCCGCTTCTCTAATGGACTCTGAAACCACACTAGCAGGACATCGATTTTTCACGTTTCAGATGACTTGAGTCCCGCCAGTTACCAGTTTCAGAACCGACCCCGAGCAATGAGCGAACAAAAGTGGCATCTGCCAGTTGTCAAAAACCCAACAATTGATCGCGGCGAGCCGCGCACACCCGAAGCGCATGGGTGATTACGGATGTTGCATCACATTTGAATGAGGGGGGGGTTGCACATGGGATCCAATGGGCAACGCACTTGCTCTTTGTCACGAGAAGGCCATCACCATCGGCGCCTGATTTGTATAGATAGAATCCCCACATGTAGTGCTGAAAGTGCAAATTCAACGCCTAATGTGTGTTCGTCTGAAAGAATCTGCTTTCAAATATGGTGAGGCCTTGAAGGAGCAGGCAACGACGGCTGGGGCGGGGGCTACTGCGAACGTTCACTGCGTGAAAGGGTGGAGTGGCCTGGTGGCCAAAACGCCTTTTGATACCCCTCTAACTAATGGCAATCATTGGCCAACGCCCGCTCCCAGCCGTCGTGCCACGTTGCCTATTGAGTTTGAAAGAAACATAAGCCTTCAACGGGACTTATTTATGATATGCGAGCTCTGTTTGCATAGTTTCAAAAACGAACATCTAACTTAGTTTTGTGCAGGTGGCATCCGTGCTGGCACAGGACTGCTCAAGTCCAGCAGGAACTAAAGAGACATTTGGGCAATATCTCCTGTGTATGAAGCGCAGTATCGACCAGAACTACATGCTGTACGAGAACGAGATCCGAGAGCACGGGAGGTATGAGCTGTTTACTAGGATCAATTTTTGTGGATTTATAAGACTAAATCTCTCCCTTCGCGACGTCAGACGTATGCTCCCTCGGGTAATAGTGCAGACGGTAAAGGCATAGGAGGGCAACAGCACCTCCCATGGTGTGTGTCAGTGTCTACGAAACCTCACCCTTTTCCATCACCAAGTGCCCTGCCATTATTGGATTTAGGCACTTAAGCCGTCGATCTATGACGAAACTGTTTTTCCTTCACTGACCTTTCGGTAATCTCAGAATTGATTTCTTTCAGACGAGCAGCACTGGCGTGTTTCTCGCCAAGCATCGATGAGGGTAATAGAAATGACCGCTGTGTTCTCAGTCAAAATGATCTCAACCAGGTGGCATGGGATCGTCATGGACCTCTCAGGGACTGCACAATTTGTAGGACTGTAAGCATTGCCATTACTGCTTCCAATAGGATTTCATTCCACTGAAAGCCCTTTTGCTTTCAGTTCGCATCTGGCGCACTGAAGGCATTGAAATCGACTCCGGCAGAGGATCAGAAGTGTATCCGAACTGAGATCACTAAAGGTAATTTTCAGAGACGCCTCGCGGGCTTTACAGTAGCGAAGGCTTAAAAGGTCCTCCAAGATGTTACCTTTCAAGAGTAGTCGATATAGAGTTCTTGAAAGACAGTTTCAGGGACTTAGCCTGATGCTAATACCTTTCTCTATCCAGGCTAAGCCTTAAAAAGTGCCAGACGATCGGGGCCTCCGCGGTGTAGTCGTGTACCCCTTCCTATTCAAGCTGCCTTACCCGCAAAGAGTCCATCCATATGTTGACAGTTATGACCAACGGTACCATAATGATCAGGGCACATCATTGGTTGGGGATTTTAGTCGAGTCTGTACGACCCCCCCTTTTTGGGAGTTGGTACGACCCCCCCCCAGCCCTCTTCTGTCCTTCCTCATCGAATCGAGCCGTCGAGCGGGGGGGGAGGGGCATATAGTACGCATGAAACAGGAAAATCACCAAAAGTCAACCACCACTCCTACAACGCCAAAACGTAAATACGACCCCCTCCCAAAAATGACCAAGTACGACCCCCCCCCCTTTACAACGTCCATGAAGCGAGAAAAATCAACTATCAAAATTTTTCTCAGCCCAAATACGAACCCCCTCTCCTGGCGGCCAAATACGACTCCCCCCTCCCTATTGGGAATTCCTTTCGGATTCTCCGTTCCATACTCCAACTTAGCCGCTGACAAAACCCTATTTTCGACAGCTAGCCTCGGAGGTGTGTCCCTCCATGAGTCATTCCGACCGATACATTAGTCGGAGGGATCTCATGATAAGTGTTTAGGGGGATTTTGAATAACTTTCATGTATATCTGCGTGATTTCAGCCATCGCTCGAG